GGAGTGGGCCTGTGTGTGTGCACGTGTGTGCATCTGTGTACGTGCACATGTGCGTGCACGTGTGTGTCCAAAGGGACTGTGCACGTGTACACGTGCACACGTGTGATGAGTTGCACCCCCAGCCGAGACCCCACCTGGACCCCCGCCAGGGCTGTCCCAGAACGCGCTGTCCTGCCTGGGTTCTGGTCTCTCCCTTGATTCTCTTGATTGACCTCCTGCAGTAGGAGGAACTCTGACACACTTTCCCAAAAGGGGATATAAATTTAGTTTAAAAGAAAAAAGAACTGTAGAGTGACCTGAAATCCACTGACTGCCCTGGGGTTCCACTGCAGAGGCTCCGTGTCTTCGCCCGCGGGTTCCCCTGGAGCGTTCCAGGCCCCCGGCTTCCTCTTCCTCTGCCTATCTCTGTCTCTGTCCGACTCTAGCTAGCGTTTCTCACGCTTCGGTCACTGGCCTTGCACCTTATGACTTGGGTCGTACGCGCACACCACCAGTCCTTCTCAGTTTGCATTTTCCTTTTAGTCACTTACGCTTACTTCTCGAATTACGTATTTGGAAATGAAACTTGCAGTCCCTGCAATAAAGGGAAAACCCGCATTGCTGTCATGCATAGGACGAAGCCAGAAAAGTAAGCAGATATCGTACTCAAGCCCATCTCATCAGAAGCCAAGTATACAGGGCGTGCTCCGAAAACCCTACCACTGGGGTCCTTGGATGAGCCACCAGCTGGTTTGCTGGAATTCAGGTGTGTGCCACATGCCCTCCCACCCCCAGCCATCCCCAACTTGCGCAGGAGTCAGAGGTCATCCACCTTGTAAAGGGCAAGGTGAGGCGGAGATGAATGCAGGCATCCAGCGTAGGCTGTACACCCCTAGTGGGCTAGGTGGAGAGAAGGCTTCCCTGGGGATAAAGGTGCTCAGGGGCTGGGCTCATATTTGAGTGCTGAAGGCTGAAGCCAGGAAGTTCAGAAGGAGTTCTTGTCTAGACATTGCCGTGGAAGTCTGGGACAACGTGGCAGGAGGATCACAGAGATGTTGGCTTTGTTGGACCTGCCCAGCTCTTCACTTCTTAGAGCTGTGTGCTTTGGGCGTGTGTCTGTCACAAGGGGCCAGGTGGTCCCGTTTTACTGACGGAAAGTGCAGCCCTCCGGGTAGCCACTTAGAAAAGTGTGGGACGACTCATCCAGACCTGGGACGAACACAGCCTCTGCACGGGACTCCAAGGCTGATGGAGCCCCTGACAGATGGCAGCCGTGGGAGAGGGGGCAAGGGCTGCCACAGGCAGAGGAGCACGAGCGAGAAGAGGGCCCCAGGTGCGCTGGAGGCCAGGTGTGCCCCAGGCCAGGCGCACAGGGACAGAGGCAGGCAGGGGCGCGGGAGGGGGGAGTTGGTGAGCTGGGTGTGGAGGCAGGCCCTGGGCAGCTACCGAGGGCTTTGGATAAAGGCAGGACATGAAATATCTGATGTTGGGAAATGGAAACAGGGTTCCAGGGACAGGTGGACAGCCGTGGTCCAGGCCGCAGCTCTAAAGGCAAGCGGTAGAGGTGGGCATGAGAAGGAAAGTTCGGGGGAATCCTGCGGACCGAGCCAACACCTAGAGCCCAGGGAGACGGGTGGGCTGAAGGTGCGGCCCTGGGCCCAGGGGTGTTGTGTTGGTCAGCTCTGCATTAAAGGGAGAAAGGTTTACACTGGTTCATGGTTTCAGATGTGTCAGCTCATAGCCGGTTCCAAGGCCAAAACAGCATGACCGAGGAAAGCTGGTGTTAGGGGTTGGGAATGGTGAAGGTGGTGCAGGTGGAGATGGTGCTGTTGGGGTGGAGATGGTGGTGGTGAGGGCGAAGATGATGGTGGAGGTGGTAAGGTGAAGATGGTAGTTGTGGAGGTGGTGTGTGTATGTGTGTGTGTGTGTGTGTGTTTACATGTGTACATGCGCCATGCAAGGCTGAGATGCCTGACTCTCCCTGCATGCTCTGTGAGCTAGCATTGCCCACTGGGGCCAGAAACCCGGCAGAGACTATGGAGGTGAGCTGTACCCTGAGAGCTCTCGGGCCTGGAGGAGGCGTGGAGCCCAGGACACCGCTGCTCCCTGGGAAGCAGCAGAAACACAGCCTCCTGCTGCTTTGCTTGCCTCTGCTCTGCTGGGCCTCAGCTTCACGCTGGAGTCTGCGTTGTCTGTAAGCCAAAGGCCTCTTGTCCAGAGCACGCTGGCATGCCACGCGTGCTCAGCAGAGGCATGCTGGGGACTACTGAGGTGCCAGGCCCTGTCTCTGCACGAGGGGCTCAGCAGGAAATGGCATGGAACCTGCCGCCACCCTCCGGGGCTTGGCATTCGGTGGAGGACAAGCCCGTGAGCAGTCCGCAGGCAGACTTGGTGAGGTGATGGACAGAACCCTCGGGGACATACTCCCTGGAGAGGTTTATTAGGCGATCGGGGCATCCAGGCAGAGGGAGCTGCACCTGCAAAGGTCCTGCAGCCCAGAAGAGGAAGTGGGGCCCAGAGAAAGGACATCAGTGACCTCCCCACCCGTGGACACGGCCACGCTATGCAGGAACTCCCCTATCCTGAGAGATGACAGCAGGCAGGTCCCCAGGAACCCAGGGCCACCTGCACTCTCCTGCCCTCCAGCCAACCCTGAGGCCCCTGCATCTCAGATTCATCCACCCTGGTCCCCTCCCTCTCCTCCACCTGAGCCAGGCTGCCCAGCTCACACGAGGACTATGCCAGTCTTCTGACAGGTCAGCTCACTCCTCGGAGGCCCCTGGCTGCGCCTCTGTCCTCGGGCTTTGCTGATGACACCCAGGAGTGGGTTTAGTGGAGGGGCTCCCAGAACCATTGCTCACCAGGCAGCCAAGACACACTGACCTCACCTCTGTGAGCCTCAGTTTCCACACTTGTCCTCTGCAGCTAAGGAGAGCACAGCCTCATGGGGATGGGGGCAAGAATGAAGGGCATGAGTCAGGCGTGGTGGCGCATGCCCTTAATCACAGCACTCTGGGAAGCTGAGACAGGAGGATCACAAGTTTGAGTCCCATCTACACTACATCTTTTATAAAGAGCTTGGGATGTGGCTTAGGGCGGAGGCTCTGGGCTCAATCTCCAGTACTGAAGGAGAAAAAAAAGCGGGGGAGGCTGGATGCAGGTGATAGCCCTCCCCCAAATCCTCATGGGGACGGTACCAGGTGATAGTGCTCTGACACCAGCCCAGGCACAGTGGCCTGGGTCAACGCTACTCCTCAGGGACGCCCCTCAGCTCCTCCAACCACGGCCCTCAGGGGACCTTTCCTGGTTGTCACTGGACCCCAGCCAGTCTGACCTCAGTGCAGGGCCATGGCCCTGAAGGCCCGGTCTCCCACAGGACGGACTGGTCCCGCACCCAGAAAGGCTAATCCCCGTCCTGCTAAGGCCAGGACACCTCACACCACACTACGGGCTGCGGAGGAGAGGCAGGTGTCCCCTCCTGGGCCGATGCTCTCCAGGTACTTGGCTCTCTGCACTGGTCCAGAGGCAACACAGGCAGGGTTTAAAAATAGTGCTACTGCACTCACTTAATCCAGCGCAGGAGAGAGAAAGAACACACAGTCTGTATGAGCAACCCGAATCAAAAATAAATGAGGCAAAAAAGAGTCTCCCAAAATAGTGCGGCTTTAGCGGCACAGCCTGAGTCGCGCGGCCAGCTGTCCTCAGCTCTCTGCCGCGAGCAGCATCACAGAGCTGCTGGAAGACGTCTTTGCAATGCTTACTCCAGAAGAGATTAAGCAGACCCACCATCTGATGAGAAACCAGAATTACCAGCAAGTAAAGCAAGGCATGGGACACTCAGGGCACCCAGGGAGGGTCCCCGGCTTCACTCCTCATCCCCGTCACCCCTGTGAGCAGCGTGGGGGTCAGCTGGCCAGAAAGTTCCTCTCTGACTTTGAAGGGCTCCCCTTCCAGACGTAGATGTCCCCACAGAGAGACAAGGGTATGGCCTGGGCATACGTGGAGGCCAAGCTACATGAGAGCAGCAAGGTCCATGGGCATCATAAGGATTTACACTTGTCTGAATTGTAGTATGATACACGTTACCTTTTTTATGTGATAGATCAGGGTCAGCCCAAGAGCCAAATCTGGCCCACCACTTGTTTTTATAAAATAAAGTTTTATTGGGACACAGCCCCATCCTATCATTTACAAGTTGTGTCTGGCTGCTTTTGCACTAGCTGCAGAGCCTAAAGTGTTGGAGCCATGCTGGGCCTGCTGGGCCTTGGTCATATGCTTGAGCATCCTAGGGCAGCATCTTGTCCACTAACAACTCCTAACGCTGGGGGTTTTGTTTGGTGGCATTTTTAGCATGCTGATGTTGACTTACAGCTTTAGAACTAAGCGTTGTTTGCAGGAAATGAAAAGATAGGGGCTGGGGATTTAGCTCAGCGGCACAGAGCCTGCCTGGCAAGTGCAAGGTCGTGAGTTCGATTCCTGGTACCGGAAAAAACAAAACAACAACAACAAAAAAGATACTCTGTGGCAAAGAATCTCTTCTAACCAGGACATTTAGCTGATGCTTAGCTGCGTAGCCACCTGTGCAGGGAGACTTACGCATCCCACCGTAAGCACCCACCTGCCACCTGCATGTGACATTGGCTGTCAGAGTGACAGACGCCCGGGACCCCAGTAGGGTGCCACCATCCCTGCTGTGTTCCCCAGCCATCTGAGAGGAACAGACAGGCCCCAGAGAGGACCTTGCTCTTAGGCGTCCCTTTCCCTGCAATGGGCTGATCTGTCCCTCAGCTTCCATGACTCATGGAGGAGCTATTTCAGACCTCAGGCTATGGCAACACATCCCCCGCCCCGCCAGTCTTCAACAGGATTCTTCAATAGATCATAGTCTAGTACTAAATTAGATTCGGCCTTTTTACTTGGGCTGTCTTGAGAATTTGGAGATTTTGCATAAAGTGTCGGTGGGACGCTGCTGCTCACACAGCAACACCACACACGCTGACGCTGCTATGCACCTCCTGCAGGCAGAAGCCAGCCGGGGCGAACACACCTTCAGCGCCCGCCTTGCTCCCCCAGAGGAAGGTTTTGAACAGGGCCAGCCTGCACACTGCCGATCAAGCCTGCTGAAACAGCCTGCCTTCTGGGTATCAGTTATTAGAGTGGATTAGTGTGCCAAATCCCCGGAGAGAAGGCTGTGATCTCATAAGAGAAGACCTAGAGAATCCCTAAGCTGACCGGAAAGACGGCAAGCCACAGAAGACAGCTGAACCCACAGGATGAATGAAAATCCAGGGACCGAGAACACGCGTGGAGACAGTGCCGAGAGCTTCCTACAGGTCGCCCCACCTCCTTGAAACACAGAGGTACAGACCCGGAGTCGGGCCCAGAACACAGAGAGGGCTGCGTGGTGGGGAGACGGGGCGCGGGGAGAAGGGGTGGGACTCAGCGAGGGTGTGTGGCGCAGAGCCAGGCGTTTGGGTGCCTGGACGTGAGGCTGTTCGTGGAGAGGAGCTGTACCAGCCGGGGAGCTGCAGCCCTCCGCCTGAGACCAGGCGGTCTCTGTGGGCAGACTGGGCTGTGGGCAGCACAGTCTCTCTGGCTGTGGAAGTCCTCGACCTCCCGTGGTTTGGGAAATGGTTTTCATCCTCACGATGGGCTGAACTGAGTGTCAAATGCACACTCAGCTTAAGGACGTCTTAGACTATTGTGGGCTGCTGCTGCTGGGGACGCAGCCCCCTCGCAAGGTGAGGAGCCTCTGGACTCGTCCCTGTAGTATGAAAGCAGTACAGATAGTGGCCGCATGTCTGTGTCCCCCCACTGTGCTGGACCACTGTGAGGTCCAAGCCCTCACCTCCTGTGCGGTGGCATTGAGAATGGGACTTTCGCGAGGCCCTCGGGACCAGAAGAGGGGTGAAGGGAAGCCCCACGATGGGAGCTGTGTCTTTATAAGGAAGGCCAGGGCTCTTTCTCTGCCACGCGAGGACCCAGCAAGAAGGAAGCTGTCTACAGACCCAGGAGAAAGGCCTCACCCAAACTGAGTCCCACAGCACCTTGACCCAGCACTTCCGGCCTCCCAACCACAAGGAGTCACCGTCTGCTCTGCAAGGGGCCTGTCTCTGGTGTTTCCTTACGGCCAGCGTGACTCCATACCGACAGAACTTCATTTAGACGCTGAGGTTTCCTCCTTTTGGCTTTTTTCTTCTCCCTGTTTAACTGTAAAAACCGCCCTTGGCTTGGGGGCTTCAGAAAACAGGCTGGGCTCAGCCTCCGGGCCCCGGCAGTTTGCTGATAGCTGTCCACTGTCTGAGGCCAAGCGCAGAATCCCCGGCTTCACTCACCCCACGACGGCAGTGCAGGGTACTGAATGGCTCTGGGTTCTGGGTGCCTCTGCCATTTCAGGAGACGCCTCTAAAAGAGCTGGATGTGAGTGATCCAGAAAGGGGCTGCAGCGAATGCTGTCCGCCTACCAGCCGGCTGACCTCGGCCTCAGCGCCCTTGTGCAGTGGGCATGGCCACCGAGGCTGCCTGCAGGAGCCTGTGTGATGGCACTGTGAAACACTGTACAGCACGTTAGGAACCTGGAGGGAGAATGGGGAAAAGCAAGGCTGTCTGCTCTCAGGAGCAATGTGGGGTTGGAAGGGGCGGCAATGCCAGAGGTCCTCAGGTGCTGACAGACTGTCACACTGCAGGGGGACCCAACTGGTTCCTTGTCTCCAGAGACCAGTGGTGGGTCCCACAGCAGGAGCTGTGAGGAGGTGCATCCCACATCTGCAGGCAGAGGCCTTTTGTCTTCTTGTCTGCCACCTGTCCCCAGGGCACTCTTCTCCCTGGAGCCCCCAGGGCGCTGGAGATGCGGAGATGCAGCAGTGCTAGGACTGACCCGAGAGACTGCGCGTGCTCCAGAGCCCCATCCTCGGCTCCCATCCTCAGGCTCGGAGGGTCTGGGCCGTGGAAGCCGCGTCCTATTGGTGGCTTTTGGGGCAGGTGACCCCTTCACAGTGCGGGCCCAAAGGAATACAAGCGACATCAAAGCAAATGTATTCCGCACTCGCTCCCTACATAGAAAAATCTGGAAGTCGGGAGAACCACGCTAGGGCCCCACTTAGCAGGAAGCGCCGAGCAGTCCCAAGACCAGCCTGGCCTGCGATGTCTCTTCGGTTCACTCAGGAGGACAGTGTGCTGCAGCCCAGGCCCCCACCCAGCCAGCCTTGAGGCCCCAGCAGCGCTCCTGCTGGAAACACAAGCAGAACTGTACGCGGCCTCCTCCACCAGGCAAGAACGTCCCCTTCCGCCAGGAGTGCGGGGCTTTCTGGGAGCCCCACCTGTAGGACCCGGCTGGAGAGGGTGTCCGAGGCCACCTCAGCTGAGACTGACCGGTGACAGCTGGGACACTCGGCAGACCTCCCTGCCAGGTTTACTGCTCTGGCTCAGATGCGTGTCTACGTAAACGCAGAGGTGGCACTGCTGGCTGGTTAAATGAAGTCTGTGCTTGCCTTCTGATTTGTTTATTGTGGTAAAAGACACGCGAGACAAAGCTTCCCAACTTAAGTGTACAGCGGGGATGTTGACGGCACTCGTGCTGTGCAGCCATCTTCCCCGTGCACCTCTGTGCCTCATTTCATCCTGCAGAAGTGACTCTCCATCCCCACCAAACACTTCCCCCCGGCCACCGGTACCCCTGAGCACTTCCTGTAAGTGGAGCTACACTGTGTTTACCTTTCTGTGACTGGCTCAGGCCCCTCAGCCTAAGGTGCTCTGGGATACGGTAGCAGGTGCCACAACGTCTTTCTCTTCATGAACAATATTCCATTGTATGGATATGCCACAGTTGGTTTATTCATTCAGTGATTACTCATCTATCAGTGGACACTCAGCCTGTTTGCTTTTTAGGTCTCTAACACTGCCATGAATGCTATGAGACATTGTGTTCATAACATACTGCCGGAAGTGACATTGCTGGGTTCCGGGGCAGATCCGTATTTATGTTTTCTTTTGGTTTATTTCATTTTGTTTTGTTTTGGGAGACAGGGTCTCGGCTGTGCAGTTCAGGTTGGCCTTGAACTCATTATGGTGTCTAGCTGACCTCAGACTCTCAGTGATCCTCCTGCCTCAGCCTCCCGAGTACTGGGATTACAGCTGTGCACTGCCACACCCTATGATCATCATGTTCCAGGGGGGCCTGGATGCTGTTTTGCACAGCAGCTGTCCATTTTCTATGCCCACCAACAAAACACACTGCAGCTCCCCATGACATGCTGACACAGGTCCTCTGGGGTCCCTGAAGCAGAAGTGGCATCTGGGTGTGGTTTGGGCCCGCCGCTGCCAGGCCTCGAGTACAGTCTTTGGAGAAGCGTCTGCTCAGGGCCTGGCCCACGTTCTAGCCATGTCACTTGCTGCTCTGCCGAGTGCTGGGCCTTCTCTTTATGTGCTGGATTTCAGCCCCTTGTTGCGTACATGATGAGCAGCGAGGTGTCCCTGACTCTACCGCCCAGCGCTGGACGGCCACCTGCCTCCCTGGCTCCGGGTAACTTTTATTAAAGAGTCGGCAGAGAGCGGAAGAACTTCCATCCACTTCGAGGGCCAGGAGTGGCGCTGAGGTCCGAGGCTGGCCCGTCCTGCCTGACCACGCAGAGCAGCGGGGAGGTTAAGATGCCCAGGTCCCACCAGGCATGGTGACGCCCACCTGGAAGCCCAGCACTGAGGGAGGCTGAGGCAAGAGGAGCACTAGTGCCCCCTGGGCAACTTAGGGAAACCCAAAATTTAGACGGAAGTTAAAAGGACTCAGAGTAGAGCCCAGTGGCAGAGCCCCGACCCGCAGTGGGGCCTTGGGTGTTGCTCCACGTTGGGAGCCTGCATTTTCTGTGAAGCGGTCTTTGCGACGGGGTCGGGGTCGGGTGGCCAGGCTGGGCCCACCAGGAGGGGCCGCCTGCCCTCCGCTCTCTCCCCAGCCTTTCCTCCCTCCTCTTTTCCCCTCCATCCCCCGAGCTCTGCTTTCTTACCTCACACCCAAGCAGTTTTCTCTTCCTTTCTTTCTCCTTTTTCCACCCCCACCCCCCGTCGTCCTGTCCGTACCCGGATCCTGCGGACCCCTGACTAGATGCACAGAGGCTCAGCTGGCTGACTGCCCACCCCTTCCCAGCGCTCCCATCTAGGGCAGGCTGAGCCGGGGCCTCTGTACTGCGCAGGTGCACTGTGCAGGAGCGGGTGGGTGTCCCAGGAAAGCCCTTCCCCTCTCTCTCCCTAAGATGGGGCTCCCCAGCCCCAGGCAGGGACCCCGCCTCTCTGGACACCCCCAGTGGGAGGGCGGGGACTGGCAGGTGCTTCCCTGCCCTGCACTGTCTTCCTGCCCCCCACCTCCTGCCTGAAAGCCAACACACTGCCACACAGCCTGGGGTGTCGGAGCCTTCCCGCCTGAGTCACAGCCCCAGAACCAGAGGCCACACCCAGTACCCCACAGGCCCTGGGGTGCCCAGCTCCCCCTCAGGGCTCTGGCAGCACCACACTGACTTCCTGTTGGGCCTGAGGCCGGGAGGCTTGCTGTGCAGCCAGGGGGTGACTTTGCCTCCTCCTGAGGATGCCAGGAACATGGTCTCGGCTGCCGTTCTGACCCAGGAGCAGGTACCCAGGGTCTCTGGGGTGGTGTAGCCCAGGATGGGCCTTGTATCCAGCGTGAGGGTCCTGGGTTTGCGCCCACAGCCACAGCCTGAAGCCAGGCTGCACCTGCCAGCCCAGGCCCCTTGTGGCCCCACGTAGCTTCCTGTGCAGCTGACCGGGACTCACAGTAGACACACACACGGCAGCCCTGCACCCAGCAGTTCTCCATGCCTTCTGCTTTCCATCCCTGGGGTGAGAGGGGAGACCAAAAGACCCTGGGGTGCCCGTGTCCCTCCCCAGGTGGTGATGGGGGTCAGCAGCTGCCAAGTACCCTGTGAGGCCCCAGGAGAGGTGCAGCCATCTCAGCAGAAGGCTCCAGGCTCACGCCCAGACAGCGGGTGTGATGGGTCCCCATCCCTTCCTGTCCCCGTCAGACTGAGCGCCAAGCCGGGGTGGAAGGCAGCAGACCCCGAAGCCCTTCGCCTCTGCAGTTTAACCCCACTATCTGCAGTGCCGGGGAGAACAGCGGGAGCCCCTGGTGGCAGTGGCTTCCTCCCTCCTTTCCTCTCCGCTTCTCCACTTCCCCCTGCAGGACTCGGGGCAGGGTGTGGTCACCGTGGGGGAGGGCAGGGGAGAGGCCCGGAGCTTCCCCTGCGGTCCAGGGCACAGCACACAGTCTGCTGAAGGGAAGAGCCCTGTGGCCTGAGCACTATGGCGGTTCTGGAGCAGGCGAGGGCTCAGGTGGGGCCCGGGGGAGGATCTCACAGCT